GGCAACTTATTCCTGATCCTTCAAATGTAACCGAAAAAATCATAATTGCTACAACTTTCATGTGCTGTAGGACTCAATACTTATGAGACAAGTATGTTTTAAATACTAATAATCATAAGGAAAAAATAGTTCACTGAGATTTTTTCATTCACACGCTGTCATATCTCACCTTCTACAGTACTTTAGCCCTCTTGGGTATTTATTTAACATCTTAGGTGTATCAAATAAAAACTTAACTCCTCAGATTAAACAGGTATTTCTTTCCAACCTGACAAAAACTGTTGGGACAGTTTATCTAATTTTCCAGTTACCTTAAATTATGCAGATAAAATTAACAGTTTGCAATTTATAACAACAAGAGGGTAAGATGAGGATGGAGAGGAAACTGACTGACAAGGAAATCCTGATAGATTTTTAAGATGAAGAGAAATAAAATGCCTTTCTGAAGTCTTACTTTACCTTGGTGAAACAAATCACAAAAAGAATCCAACAGAGACATGAAATTAATGCAAAAATGAGAAAAAGATCACATGATTATTTTTTTGGCCTTATAGAAGTATGTTTCCCAGTCTGGTTGGTTTTTTTATCCTTAAAAAAACCCATGATTTTGACAGACTGGTTGTTTTCTGTACTTAAAAAAATTAAATCTTGCAGCCATTCAGCTTAAATTTATCTAAATTTAAAATGATCAGAAGAATGAACACTCCAGAAAATACATGGGACTTCAGAGACATCTTTGAAAGAAAAGTCCTCTGCTAGTAGTTTTTACACAGCTAAGAGAAAAAAAATCATGCTTAGGAACTTTGCCTCAACATCAACCTTGCCAAAATTTAAGCAGGAGTTTTTGAGATAATGCTTTTAAGATGTGCCAGGCAAGAGAGAGCAAATGACTACCTGAGGTGGATCTAGATATTGGAATTTGTTGAACCAACAAGATGGGAGCTTTTACAACTACTTGATTTTATTTCACACTTTCCATCCATTCCATCCATAGCCCCAGTTCCTGCAGGGAAGGGGCTGCTGTCCCCAGATGCTGAGCAGGAAATCAAGTCCTTCCCTGCTGTATGGCTGCTCACCTGTCTCAGGCATCACCTGCCAGTAGTTTTGGTACATCCCCTGGCTTCCATCTTACCCACAGCTCTCTAATCTCCAGGATCTCTCCCATTTTAAGGACTTCTCCAGTCAGGAGCTTTACCTTTTTCCCCTTTTTGGGTCCCCCTCCTTTGTTTCAAGACCTCCTGGAGCCCCAGACAAGTCACTTCCCTTCAGTCCAGATGTTCACAGTCAGACTCTACAACTCCAGGGAGCAAACAGCAAGTTTACACTTGAGACCCTGAAGATTTGAAGTTGATCACTAACCTTCACACATACACTCAACTACTGGGTACTGTTAGTATTCATGACTTAAGCTATTTTTTTTGCCAAGAAGACTAGCTAATATTAGCCTGATTTCACTTCCAGTGAAGACAATTGGATTAATTTTACTTGTTTCAGGAATTTTCAGAAATAGTATTTTCCAAGAGCTGATTATTTGTTGCACATAAATGCATTTTTCTGAAGTGGTTCAACTAATTCATTACAGTTGTTTGCCCACTGGATTCAATTATTCATGTGGGAATAAAACTTTTCCAAAAATGTTGCTAGTATAAAAAGCTCCAGAAATGTTCATATATATTACAAACCTCATGCTCTGTAACAGAATTAAGGAGATAAATGCATTTTCAAGCTTTTCTGGAACTATTGGAGGGAGTCATGGAACAAAAGAAATATATGATATATTTTGTTAGCTTATGGATTATAACAATTATATAACCAATATAACAGTTACATAACCAATTTATTTAAAAAAGTAATAACATGCTACTGGGTCAAGGAACTAAAAACTAGAATACAGTACCATGGTCATCCTGGTTGCTATTAATTCAAGTCACAGGAAAAAATTAATCAGTATAGGTATACAATTTTAGGCATGTCTGAGTGACTCATTTTTTAGTTGCTTATCAGTATATATAAATTTACCAGCAAGAAACAAGATGATTTCACTGGTAAAATCTTGCAGAGCTTACTGTATGTAAGAAAGTGGCAAAACTCTGCTTGTTCATAATCCTCAGTTTTCAATGGGTTATGTAATTGGGTAATATTTGGATATATTGACAACAATAGAAAAAGATGCACAAAATCTAGACCTGTATAAAGAAAAATTCAAAATATTCCACTATGAACAATAAAACATCCTATTTTCGTAAAATCCTGTTTCAGGAGCTCTAAGCAATACTTTAACATTTCCCTGTGGGGTTTGATTTCAGACTGAATCAGACAGCTGGCATAGATGATTTCAGCCAGAATTACTACAGTTTTGACAAACTTTCAATTTAACTGAAACACAGTTTTACTTGAAAAGTAGTAATGTGCTCTTAGCCTTGCTCATAATTTCAAATCTGAGACTCTGGCAAGTATTAAAACTCTGCCAGCAGAGGCACAGGATATGTATAACTTTAAAGACTATTCTTAAGTAATATCTGCAGCATATGAAAATTTCTCCTTGATGCAGAAAATTTGCTTTTAAGAAATTACTCATATTGCTTCTTGTCAGTGCTGGCAAGTCAAGAGAATGGCAACAAAACTAAATAAGCTTCATATGTGATTGATTTCCAGTATCCCGCTTATAAACATAAAGAATTCTCCACAAATATTGGAAACCCAAAGCACTTAACTCTTGATGATGTTTTCCAAGGAGCTGTTAAATTTAAATGATTGTTTCAGCTTTAGATTTAGCCTCCTAAGAGACAAATTATGCTAAACAGACTTGGTTGTTTTATTTTTAGTATCAGGCAAAGGGACAAAAGAGGAGAGGGAAAGGGAGAGGGAGAAGGAGAGGGAGCTGATCCCTCATTTGAAGATATACTGGGACTCTGGTAATAAGAATCTGTGGGAGATGTATTTCCCCAGCGAGGGCTCAGCTCACCGTGGGTTTTAAGATTAGGCCCCACACATGTGCAAGTCATTTTGCTTGAGGAAAGGACTCAGAATAAAATGACAGAGTTTTGTGCTTATTTTGCGTCTTATATGAAAAGGAAAGTTCAAGACAGATTATTATTTTAGGTCAGCATATCAGATCTCTTTGAAAGTTGTTCTGATTTATTAACCTGCATCTCTGGGGAAAGGGAACCGAATACTCATATCCAACGTCAACAGAAGCCAAGCATCTAATTTCCTTTGGCTCTTCTGAAGCCCCGGCATACATTTCTCAATCAACTGAAAGCAGGTTCTCTTTTACCGTAATGCAGCGAGATTTCTTTTTGCATTGTACAAATACTCTCCAGCATTTCATCTTATAACTACATATAAAAGTATACTGTTAAATGACAGTAAGATTAAAACAAGTCCAAATGCATGCACAGAAGAGTGATAAAATTGACATTGAGGAATCACTTTTGAAACACTGGCCTACAAGTAACTGGCATCAAAGTTTAACACAGGTACGTTACAAGATTTAAGATGTACTTCAGCATGAGAAGGTCAAACCTATATGGAATTGTATCATCTGTGATGAAGATCATAAATACAAAAGCAATATATAAATAATATAATAATCTGTGTGGTAAATGTGCTTCTTTTCCCCGTATTTATTATTTTCAGTGGTACTCAGAACTCCAAATAGAAGAGGCTTCAAAGATAAACTATTTAAAAGCTAAATAGATCCTATGAAAAACTGTTTTGTTGTGACAGAAGACTTTAGCTCATGAGGCACAGATAATGTAAAAACATTTTCTGAACTGTCCAAAAGACCGAACTGTATGTTCTTACATTTATTGAAAATACAATATCCTCTTTTCCAAGACTTTCTCTAACAATATTGTTTTTTCAACACTGTTCCAGATTCCTTTGTAAACATAACCTTTTAAGTAAATTAATATCATAGGAAGAGCAAAAATGTGTTTATTCACTTTCTTTACTAAACTGGCTAATTTGTTTTTAGTCAGACTTCCCAGTCTCTTAGCTGAAAAAAAACCTTAGGAAGTACAGCACAACCAAGACACACTTTCTTCTTTACAAAATCATTAGAACCTATGTTCAAAATTATTCCTGTGTTTCTGAGATTCTGCTCATATTTAGAAAGTAAGCTTTTTATAGCAACTAATATCTACCTAGGACTGCTGCTTTTCCCTCTCTGCTGTGCATTTCAGTTACTGAGATCTCAAGGTACAGGTTTCACTTCCTAAGTGTGGCTGAGAGCAGCCTCACACAATCTGTGGTATATAGCAGAAATGAACATGACAGCCACTAATGATCCTGAATGTGCTGCAGAAATAAAAAACGGCACACATACCTACAAAAAGGCAAATAAGCTGTGTTACTGACAAATTCTTCAAAATAGTCACAGACTACACAGAGTTCTTCGTACTAGTTGTTGCTACAACTCCCATGTTTATCAGAAATAAAAATGTGGAATTCTCTCTAATACATGCAGCCTTCAAAAGCATTATGCTATTTAACATTCTGTACCCATTAATCTGACCCTCCCCAAAGGTAGTGAGTATTCCACTACAATACCCACTATCCATCTGGAAGTCTTACCTAATCTGGGGTTTGCTTTTCTAAATGGCAGATCAGAGGGACTAGGTTTTACCCATGATATTACTATGGAGTTTTCATAATAGTTTGTTTACCAATTGGTTTGCTCACTTTTTTTTTTTTTTTTTAATGAGAAAAATGGAACATACAATGACCATCACAGAAATCAGTAAAAACAATCAAATATTTAAAACTTAAGCATAACCATGGAAGATTCCTGTTATAATGAAAAGAAACAAAATTTATAGTAGTACATTCTTGGCAACACAGAGGAGTCATCAAAACTATGGCACTACAGTTTTTGATGCTAGCACTTTTGCCAGTAAATTATCAGAAAATAGAGCTATCCAAGTGTCCTCAAAACGTTAGTTTTTTTACTCATTGTACACTCAAAAGGTATAGGATTAGTTTTTCTATTAAATTACCTGTCCCAGTGATCTCCAGTCTAGACTGGCACTTCCAATGTATACATGCTGTTTGTCAACAATCCAGAATGATGACTGAAGCCGACCTTCATTATATGCTGACATGTTCATATACAACACTTCAGCACCTAGAGATTTAAGGATAAAATAATAAGTGGCATTACTTAATATAATTTACATTATTAAAAGCAGAAATGTTCACATTTCATGGCCTCAATTTCCAAAATTAATGAGTGGTATAATGAAACATATCATTAAGGTTCAAAAGCAATGATAAACATTGTTAGTGTCCCAATATTTTAATTAAAATATATTCCAGTTATATGAAGAAGTACTTACTTAATGCATGTCCCAGGTACAGAGAGCATTCCCATACATTATAATGTTTACCTAATTTCCTTCCATTTAAGAATCAAATAATTGATTTTTTTTTTCCAGCACTGTATATTCCTAAAAATAGTTCATCTCTAAATTTCTATTCTGTAGCACTAACCAGCTACATATTGCAATAATGACCTTTAAAATATGAATGCAATTAAAATCCCTGCCTAAAAAGCAGACTGCTCTGCTCCTTCTGCCCTGTGCAATGGTTTGAGCAGGTAGTTGCAGTGGCTGTGGCACAGAACAGATCCTGATAAGAGAAACATGGGTGGAGAATTAAGGAAGTAAGCAAGGCTTAAACAAATTATGTTGAAACTGCTCTTAATCGTACTAATCTGTGATATTCAACCAACCACTCTGAATGTCACAGTTTTATTAATGACGATAGGCCACTGAAATCAAAGGAGCGCCTTATTGGCTCCATTGCATCACTAGGAATGTCTGAATTGATTCCATCTGTATGTTTGCAGAACTGAATCCAGAATATACTTAATATTAGGTAAGTTTAGGGAATTTCTCACACCACTACTGCTCTTTCAGTGCTCCAGTGTTTGCAAAATTAGGTGCCTAATCTGAATTAATCATTGTTGAAGGCATTTTACAGTAACCCACCCATCTTCACGTTTCAGTCATGACTAACCAGGGGAGAGAACTGACAGTAAACAGCAGCCTGGGGGACAGTGATTGTACCAGCCATTTCCTACTAAACATTCATGGGATCTCCAGTACCATGAATTCCAGTAATGGTTGATTATGACTCACAATTTTAAAAGAATTCCAGGATACACAGAGAACTAAAATGTATTTCTTCTTATCAAATTTCTTATTTTTGATCTCCTAATAAACATTTGACTTGCAATTTTAGGCAACAGTTACCAGTGCTAAATATTTCTTTATTATTATGGAAATAGTAACTTTCCTTGAAAAAAATATTCTAAATGTTCAGATATCAAGAAAAGAAGAACAATCAGGTAAGGTGCCACTTACCAAGATGCACCAAACATGCAAAATAACATTTTGAGCACATCACAGAGTTTGGTTCATTAGTCAACTGCATTGGTGCAACCCAGCTACCTTTCCAATTTTTTGTACGTTTCACTCACCCACACTCACGCATGCTTAGAAACAAAGATTTTTCCCACTTCCTTGAAACGTATTGCTGCTACTTTCAACTCATGCATTAATGAGTAGAACTGTGCTAATTATTGAGAAAATGAGTGTGAAATGGAAAAGAAATCAGAAAACACTATAGCAGCTGTTAAATGGTTTAAATTGTTTCCTGGTGAATAAACAAAACAAAAGCAACTGCTCTTAGCTAAGGACAAACATTCTGTAAGGCACCAAACTTCTAGCTAGTGACCTGAAAACTATGTTTAAAATCCAGTTTAACAAAGAAGTTTGATGCTTGATGATGTTTTCTTTCCATGCACCCAATTTGCAGCATTAAATAGCAGTATGAATTTAACACCCACAACACACCTACACTAAACAGGTTATAAATGAACTGTCAGGATTTTTGCATAGTAAAGATAAAAAATTAGGAAGCAACAATGAGCTTCCTTCTCAAAAGGGAGAGCCTAAAATAAACACAATTTAAAAACATTTTTGATGCATCTAATGACAAACAAAAATGCTGACTGCCAAAGCTATAACAGGAGACTATACAACCAGTAATAATAACTTTAAAAATAGCAAACTTCATCAGTAACTTGACACAAAATTCAAAAGTTGTAAAACACCTGAATTTGTTGGTGTGGGTTGTTCAGATATGGGCAAAAGCAGTGGGTTGGGACTATTACTCTAAAATACAATCTAGGTTTCAATTATCAAAATAGTGAATATAGCAGTGCAGAAGATACTGCTATCACATATACCAGTAAAATCAAAGCCTGGAACCAAATTCCTTTTCCTTTTGGAAACATCCAACTGGTAAGTGAACAAGTGAGGAAACACTACCTCCCAGTTAATAAAAAAAAAAAAAAAACAAAGAAAAACCAAAAAAGTCATTTGTTGCAAGCAGCAGCTGTTGTGCAACCTATTAATGAGCCCTTACCTTTTGATGAAAGGAAACATGTATCAATATTGATAATTGCCTCTGTTCCACAAGCCCTTGAGATGCTTTGTTAAAATAGGTTTATCAAGCCTTCAACACGATCCACCATCCCTAGCATGGTTCAGGTCTCATGAGGAAATTAAATTGGACTGATCAATATGTGAAGCCATAACAGAACTCTCTGTCATGCTGCAGTCTCAATTACACGAAGTTGTGAGTCTACTGAGTTTCTCCAAAAGAGAATATTTGTAGGCTTGATTGCTAATAAACATGCCAAATAAATCTAACTATTTTGTTTCACTGGAGATTAAAATCCAGGATGAGAACTAAAGAGAAAACCAGTGCTGTCACTTAAAACTCAAGTGGATTTGTCTGTCCCTTAAAATTGTGCACTTTAAGGGCTGGGACAGATTACACATTTTCTGCAGAAAAAAAAACCACAAAAAAAGGGACTCTGTAGGGATCAAAGAATGTTGTAAGTAACAGACATTTATCTGAGTACTTTTTCTTCTTTTTCACACTGATTCAGTCTGGGATGCATAGAGGGGACCCTACCATTGAGAGCCTGGACCCTCTGTACATGATGTGAACTCAGCCCCTGGGAAGTACCAGACTGCAACTTAGCCTCTAGCTTTGTCTCATAACGGAGGAAGAAAACAGAAGGTATCAGTAGTATTACAAGAAAGACTGACTCTTCATCCATTAAAAAAAAATCCAGTTCCCAAAGTAATCCCAAAGAAGAGGGATGGGCCAAGCAAATGTCATTTACAGTTTCTAGCCTTGCAACATCCTGTTTGGTCCAGCTGTCAGCTCTCAGACACTTTGCTAACAATGTCTGAAAGCTACAGGGCAAGCTTGACTTCAAGAGTAGGAACTTGAACAGAATTGGGATTATTCAGCCTGGAGAGAACACTTCATGGTGACCTAATTGCGGCTTTCCAGCGCATGAAGGGAGCTTACAAGGACAGAGATGGTTTTTCCCAAGGGTATGTTGGAAAGAAGGAAGCATGAAGGGGAATGTATTCTAACTGAAAGAATAAATTTAAATTAGATATTAGGAGGAAACTCTACTGTGAGGGTGGTGAGGCACTGGAACAGGTTGCCCAGGGAAGTTTTGGATGTGCTGTCCCTGGAAGTGTTCAAGGCCAGGTTGGTTGGGGCTCTAAGCAAGCTGGTTTACTGAAAGCTGTGATCTTTAAGGTCCCTTCCTACCCAAGCCATTTTATGTTTCTATGAACCAAAAACTAGGACATTTTTTAAATATTTGAGGCAAAGCATTAAACTCTAAGTAGGGACCTTTGATCAAGAGCTCATCACATACACGCTGTCATGAAAACCTGTGTCAGACACATTCCAGTGTTGTGGCAGCTGTGTTGTGGCTGTGGATTTTAGTGCTGCTCAAGCAAGGTCACCAGACAGTTACACAAACTGGGAGATTGTTCCTCCTGGGAGACTGTAGGGGGTTAGAACTCACAGGGCTGCCACTTGGCTTCTATACATCAAGTTTACAAACATCAAGTTTGTGCAACAGTCTGGAGAAGGAGCACCTTCTTTGGAGGTCTTCACTTTCTTGAGGCTTTGGGTCCAACACCTGTGAGCTTCTTAGGATATTGTCCTACTGTACTGAGGCAACATCATTATGCCAAATTCTCTCACTGGTGGATGCAGTGATTAATTCTGGTAATGAAGACTCAGAAAGAGCAACTATTTAGGCTGCTATTATCACAGCTGCCTTGAAAGCAAACATGCAAATTCTGCTTGCCACAGTTTTCAGCAGTACCAGTTACAGGCTAAACTCCCTCTGGAGTTAGCAAACATAACGCCCAAGAAACAGAAGCTGCATTTGCTTGTACCATGCCTAAATTTGCCTTCTGTCTTCACAACTTTCTTACTTTTACTACAGTGCTTTTAAAACCAGAGAGAAAGAAAAATAAGGGGAAGAACTTTAGGAGTAAAAGGAGAACCACAGATATCTGGGAAATCTGTATAGATACAAATGTCTCTTTCCCTATATTTTGCAATATATACTTTCATTTCATTTATTTGCTTCCAATAATAACCTTTAGCACAAAGTACATCCATGAATAAACATAATTTTTATTCTGAGACAAAAATTCAGAGTTTTCAATACAAGCAGTCACAAGTGGTGGAGTAGCTGTCTCTTTTGGAATAGACACAAGAGACCCAGGTGGAGGATCACCTCCCCATGAGTTTTCAGGGTTTTTTGTCAACTGATTGCAAAAAGTATGGTCTTCTTCCAGAAGCCCCATTAGTGTGACCTGCCACCACTCAGAAAAGGACAAGTACAAAAGCAGAGGAATGCACAACTTGAAAATAAAGTTATTTTTACTAAGTCTCTGAATGATTAAAAGACAAACTAGACTATTTCCTATTCCTGTGCTCCTTATGGCATATTGGATTTGAAATTAAATTTGAAAGTCTGCCTGGCCCAGAAAGAGAAATGATTCAGATTTATTTTAAAGAGAGAACACTCAAGGACTTTTAGGGAAATCTCTGATGGTAATACCCTAACTTTGAATCAGCTCTTTTGTTTACATTGCCCTCTGCTTTTCTCTCTTTCTCATGCATATCCCCCTGTCCTTTTTAAAAACTAGAGGGACTGAATCCTGTCACTCTGGGATTATGTGCTGTTCATCAGTCTAAAGCCACAGTAACTTAAAAAAGAAGCAGCCT